TTGCTATTTAAAAAGGCTGTGTAACAAAGAATACAGAAAAAGCAAAGTTTTATTTATCTCATGAATTATCTACATATCAGTATTTCCCCTTCAGTGGTAATTTAACTGAAATGTTAAATTGGGTTAATACTTCTTAAAAAAGTACATGAATTCTTAATGTGCTTTGATAAAACAGTGACATCTGAGTTGCCTGGCTTTTTCTCAAATTTCTATAGGAAATATTTTATGTATTCATCTTATGCAGACATATTTGAAAATATGTGAAAGAAAGAAGAGCTAGGTACTGATGTGCTTTCCAGTGTTTTAAACTCTGGAAATGGGTCTGCAGCTCAAAGTTCAGTTTTAGTGGAAGATCAAAGGCTGATGAGATGTTCTAGAAAAGGAATGGAGAAGTGTGTTGGAAAATATTTTGTAGTTGTGAGACTGATGGTGTATTTGCATTTAGAACACAGTCTTGATTTTGTATTCTTTAAAAAGATGCTATAGATTTAGAAGAGTTTCAAAGGTGAGAAAAGCTGTTAAAAGAACTTGCATTAGATTATCAGAGAAAAGTGATATTTAGGATTAATATGCTAAAATATTGAGAAAATAATAAGGAAGAAAGTTAATTTTTTTTTTCTTTGAGACTTTACACATGAATAAAGACGATAGCACTGGTGAAGTGTATGAGAAATTAAAAAACTGTTTAAAGGGGAATTTTTCACTCATCACAGAATTAGATTGTAAAGTTCATTGCCACACGTATAAGATCTCTTCACTGTTGGATTAATGTGAGACCTTCATGGATGATCATTATTCCATACAAGCTGATTCAGATATTGCTTCCTTTGGGACATCTGCTGTTGAATTCTGTCAAAAATAGATTTCTGGAGTAGACAGCAGTTGTAATTTGGTACGCCGGTTTGTGTCATATGCAACGTACAGACTACAGAAGACTACTGCAGACAAACTGGTTTATTATTCATTTCTGGTTTTGTACCAGATCTTTAAGTTAAACTGGATGAACAGAATATTACTTAGTCTTTCAGAAGGCTTGCTCCTTTGAATGTCTCATTCGGTCCGTGCTTTGCATAACACCTATAGGAATACTCAGACATAAAAAAACCACCTCTCCCTGTTTTGTACTGAGCTACGTATTCTCCAAACCAGAGGAAAGGCATGAGTGATTCGAAGTTTTTAGCATTACATCTGCTAACAGAGGTTTGTTTTTTTTGTTGGGTTTTTTTTCCTTGGAGTTGTCAGGGAAATTTTCATTGTATTTTATTTACCTGAGTTATTTGTACAGTTAGCTGAAAATTCTTCACTGTTACTTCTTAAATCATAACCACAAGCTCTCTTATGTCCATCTTTCGCTTCTGTCCCTCTTTCCTCCCCAAATCACTGCTTTTCTATGTTGCTTGTTCTGGAAAGCTGGCGTACCATTTCATTATGTGTACCTGGAATCTGTAATAAATGTATTATGCTTACCTGAGGGAGATACGGCCTTCAGAGATATTACTGTAAAAAATGTAAAGAATTAAATATATGAGTACCAATCTTTAATCTATTTTAAAGTTGTTTTCTGCACAATACTCGATGTGTAGCATGTTATTTGATTTTAAAATACCTTTTGTAACTTAGATGTTAGAAAAACATCTAACCAATATTTATAGCAGCATACTCAGTTTCTTAGTGTTCTCAGTTATACAATTAAATAATCACAGGCTATCAAAGTTACTACATTTTAAAAACTCAAGTGCAGTTATTTTAAAAATGTATACAAATGTGACAATTGACACATGATTAGTTTATTTGAATTGCTCTTAGGTTTGAACTATTTTTTGCAAACCTTAGTATATCAAACTATGGAACTTATCATTGAGGGGTACTTACTATCTCAAGTTGACACTTTCAGTCTAAACCAAAGTTGGCTTCAAAAGAAAAATATGACTCATTAAAACAAAGCTGCACCCATTTTGCACAGCACAGGCTTCTGAGCGTGCATCTGGTAAGAAGCACTTCTCATCCTGTATAAATTATAAAATTATTTAAAAAAATAATTTGCAAGTAGTATTTTGAGTCTCCTGGATGTGGCTGTTGTACCACTGGAAAGTGACATTAACAATGGAGAGGGCCAACTTAAGAGATTGCAAGGTAGTTACTGTCGTGCTTTCATACGCTTCACTGATTGGTAGATCCTTTTCAGTGATTTTTTTGTTTGTTTGGGGTTTTTTTTCCTCATTCCTTTTTTTCTAGAAATGAGTAACTGGTATTTATAGTAATACGGAAACATACTGTGATGAAGGTAATAAGAAATCTTTTCACTGCTATTTTTATCCAAACATTGATTTGCCCTCACTTATCAATTGGCTTTTAACATGTTCTACATAAAGTGAATGTGGTTAACTTCAGAAATTTGTGTGGATGTCAACTAACACAAAGTAAGTTTTTCTTCTTGTTAAGGAAAGTGTGCGTAGATGGAGAATGCACTGGCTAATGCTGCCTGCTTGATGTGAATTTTCTCTTAACACTGGGTCATTGTGTTCTTCTCTTTTCCTGACAGCAACAGCTGGGATGAGCATGTCTTTGAACTGGTTCTACCAAAAGCCTGTATGGTTGGACATGTGGACTTCAAATTTGTTTTGAATTCAAACATCACAAACATTCCCCAGATTCAAGTGACTTTACTGAAAAATAAAGCTCCAGGCTTAGGGAAAGTCAATGGTAAGAAAGACCTTAAGATATCTTTCATAATATTATTTCTTTTCTCAAACTCATTATTCTCTGATGTATGTTAGAAGAATTGCTTGAAATTGTGTAAATGTTTTGGTTTTACGTATTTCCATTTTATTCTATTTCTCAGTGTCATGGTGTGTTTTCACTTACCATGTTTGAATGTAAATTGGGGAAACAAACTGGATAAATAGTTTCAAAATCCTGAATTTTATACAAATAGAAGTGCATAGCTCAAAAAGGTTGAACTGAATTATTCTGTACTGCTTGACTCCTACAGTCGTTAAAAAAAACACATTGTCAATTGTAAATCATCCGAGAGATTGACAGATGAAACAAATGGTGCTCTTTTGAGTTCTTGATATACTTAAAAAAATAATAGTAAATTATTCCAAGTCATAGAAGGAAATTATTTGCCAGTGCCTCTTGAATGCATAAGAGAAAATAGCAAGGCTTTTTTTGATGACAGTAGATAAAACCTGGCTTCCTTGGGAATTCTCTCGTCATCTGGCTCATTAACTAAGCTATGTGAAAGCTGCAGTATGATTTCACCTTTTGTTCCTTGCAGCTTTGACAGGGTAGACCAAAGTTATGAATGCTCTTGCCTTCTTGGGAAGACTCCTAGCTGGACTCTGCATCTTACTAGCTCTCAGGGAACCTGTGAGGGGGTAGCATAAGTTGAAAAGTCACTTCTTTGATGTGGAAGAGTTTGTGCCTCCATTGGGATTTTCCTGTGGTGAGAGTGTTCATTGCATGTCCTGCTGCCCTGTCTGCTAGGGATGGAAGGTATTATGTGCAGCACTTCCTTTTATTGAGGCATTAATTGGTTATCTTTATCTGGCCACATCTTTTTGAAAAGCTTCTAGGAACGTGGTATTTCAGAGAAATCTTGCTGTTGGATATTATTAAATTGGCTGCTGGATTTAAAATGTGTTGGGGAGAACAGCAAGCATGACTATAAAAGCTCTTTTTTTTTTTTTTTTTTTTTTCTTTTTCTTTTTTTTTAAATGTGAAGTAAGAGCACCCCAGTTAAACAAGGGTAAGAGACCTGTAAATTTTAAGAAGGAAAACAGGCATACCAAAGATCATTGACATGCTTTCATATAACTTCTCATTCTGTAGCATCCCCCAGTGTTTAACAAGAAAAAAAGTGTGCTGGAGATGCTCCTTAAGAAATCCTATAAACTGGTGGTTACCCAAGAATAAAATATTCTAGCATAGTAATATCCTTGGAGAAAAGCATACTCTTTTAGGATACAAGATGGTTTAACAGAAGTGCTAGCTGTGACTGTAGGACAACAGTCAACAGGTGTTCCTGCACGTTCTTCCTTTCTTTAATTCTTGAAGTAACCTTAATTTTAACATGGGCAGAATTTTGTTCTATCAAAGCAAAAAATACGAGGACTGGAGGGCCAAGGTATACACAGGCAGTCTGGAAAGGGCTGGGGGATATGAGAGTGCCTGTGAGGCAGCTTTGACAGTGTCTTTTTTTCTTTTTGATTCAGTAGGACTGAGCCACCTCAACCAACCAACCAACATCCTCTCAAGTGTTACTGCATTGCAGTTGTTTCCTACTTCTTTTCAATTTCTTGCGTTTTGAAAAAAGACCTTAATGACATTTGACTTTTTTTCTATGCACTATTGAATAAAGTAATAGGACACTAATGATTTCATTATAAAGGAAGACAAATCTAGATAATTTCTATCTGTGCTGGATATTAACCAAAATGTTCCAATCTCAGGGAGAAGTAATACTCAGGATTGTTTGGTGGCTCTTGAAAAAGTATAAAATCTTCAGTCTGAAATTCAATTAGCTCCTCCCCCTTCCCTCGTAGGTGGAGAAAGGAACTGAAATTTTAAGATAATAAAACCTAAGGAAAATGTGTAGGGGAATGTTTATTCAGTCATTTTTTGTATGACAGGAACCCTGGAACCAGTTAAATATGTAGTGTGTAATAACAGGAAGGCCAGAGGCATAATTCTTCCGGTTTGAAACTAATGGTCTTGATCTGGCAGTTAATTCACTGTATATGCTGCTTGTTCATTTGCTTGCATGTTCTCTTCATCTATGATTCATGAGAACCATTTAATTGAAAGAGCTGTACTTAAGTGTTATCAAAATAATGTCTCATGTACCAGTTTTTTTCAATTTAAATTATCAAACTTTCAGTACTGGAATCTAATTACTTAGGAGTAATCTACAGTTGATTATTAGGAGAAAATAATTTGGGCAGTGTTAAAGCAAAGCAGGCTGTTTACAGGTCATTCAAAGAAATTTTTTTTTTTTAATTGCTTGCTGCAACTTCAATTGCAATCCTAATATGAAAAACGTGCCTTTGTATATTTGTGGTTCTTATATTAGAAATAGTGTTTTGGGCAGAAAGCTGATAAATTTGCTATGAAAACTACTGCTTCTGTTTTCTGTGAGCTTTAAGCAATGTTTATGAAATCTTGCTAATATTTTTGTTTCCAGAAGCAGCAGTAGACAGACAGATCACATTTCCTTTATCTCCAGCTCATAATATTGAAGTGGAGAGAAATGGAAAACCAGGGCTGGTTGAATTCAATGAAGAAATGCAGTATATGGATGTAGAGGAACCACAATGTAAGTTTTATTTATTGTGTTATGCTTTGTTTAAAATATGAGCTTGCTTTTTTCTTTTTCTTTTTTTTTTAATGATACACTCGAATTTCTCTGCAAAAAATTCTCAGCCATTTCAAATAGACTAATTTCTCAGCCCTCTTCAATGTTGCCTCTCTCACTGGTCTGTTTACTGTATGAGTTGA